CTCTCACTGAGTAAAGTGGAGGCAGCTCTTGGTCCCTCTAAGTAGAAAGGCCATGAGAACTTCAACATCTTGACACCTAGTGTCTGTGAGGTGACTCATGCCTTAGCTTCTGTGGAAAAGGACCATGGCTCCTTCTCCAGGATTAAGGAGAAGGACAATCTTCTGCCATTTCTCCACACCCAATGTAATACACTCTCTTCTCCACTGGCCCCTGAACTCCTCCAGCTTCACCTTGTCCATCCCCCTCCTGCCACACTCAACTCCATGGATATGCCAGACACTCATACCTCTGAACGATCACCCAGGCCACTCTGTAACCCTGACTCACACGCACCATTTGCTATTCTTCTCTTGCTCCTGAGCTGCAGTGGTGTTGGGGAAAACACACATACACAAACCAACACGTGTGTGTGTGTGCATGCACGTACTCATCGTCATGACACATACACATACAATCCAAGACCAACATTTTCTTACCAGATCCACTATTAACTCATCCACAGTAGATGTTTCAAACACCTTCCTCTACAATACTCCTTTGTCACTTGTAATTAGTTCCTTCCAGTATGTGGGCTTGATTCAACAACCCTTTATCGATCATCTAATATGTGCTGGATACAAGGGGCTACACCCGCTGTGAATATGATACGGCCTCTGCTCTCAAAGAAGTAGCAGTCTTGAGAAAGAGGAGTGGGTGGAGTAGCAGACAGGGATGAAATAACCATAAACCACAATGTGAGTGCTGCTATGCAGGTTGTATGAATCATTTTGAACAGGGCCACAGAGAATGGAGGGAAAGGTAAATAATTGGATGTGGAGAATATGGAAAAAGGAGAATTGAGGATGACTCTCAGGTCCCTGGCTTGGGTGGCCAAGTTGACAAAGCATATGAGGGAGTAGCAAGCTTGAGCTGGAGAGGTGTGGAGGGATGGGGAAATCTTTTTTGTCGGTATGCTGAGTTTGATATCCCTACAAAATTACTATGGTAGTTTGAGGTCCCTGTGAAACATCCAAATGGTAATGTCCCATGTTTGAAGCTTAGGAGAGAAAGCTGAAATGGATTTGCACATTGGGAGTGGCTACAGAATCATGCTTGGTACCAAGTAAGAAGGAAAGAACTCAAAAAAACATAAGCATTTAACAGGTAGGCAGAGAGTAAGAAATGGATTGATAAAGAACAGCCAGAAAGATAGAAAATTAGGTGACTGTTTCTGCCTCCTAAATCTACCTGCAATTGTGTTTTCCTTCTCATTTCAAACTATTTGCTAGACTTTTCTAATCAGATATTGCTCTAATATCTCAAATTCAATTTTCACACACACACAAAAAAGTTTTTGCTTCTGACTTCCCTGTTTGTGTCCATGTGGTGTAAAGAATGCTTTCTTCACAGATAAATCTGAAGCCCCTGACCCTTCACTGATGGCATCTATGCTTTGAGTTACTCTGTCCCGGCAGGTTCAACGTCTCCTCCACAATTATTCTTCCTTTAAGAATCAGCTCCCCACGCTCCCCACCCCCGCTCTCTCAAGAAGCCTTCTCTCATCTCATCTTCCAAAGTGTAAGTTAGAGCTGCTCCTCACTACTCACATTGTTATATCCTGCACGTAGTTCTACCACTGAATTTATAATAGTTTATAAGTAGTTATATTATTTCATAAGTATCTATTTTTGTATCTTTGGATGAAGGAACACTTATTTATCTTTGCATCCCCAATAAAATGCAAATTAAATGTTTGTTGAACAGGGACAAACTAAATGTTGAATAAATGAATGAGTGAAGCTGAACCAGAAAACAGATTCCTCCTTTTATTGCCCTTCTCACATTACCTAGAGGTATTTCATATTTTTTCCTGTATCCACATACTCTTTATAATCAATGTTCTATGAATAAGCCTCCCAATCACGACAACCATTTTTTATATTGTAACAGCCACACATTTCTGTAATTTGCCTCTAGGGCATTTCGTAGGATAGCAACCAGATGTAGCTCTCATCTCTTTGACATTAATTCTAATACATATACTCATTGAGATTTTCAGTGGAATTAAAGGGTCAGCCGTCTATCAAACCATTAGCCAAGAACTGTCGATTTATAAAATTTTTTTTTTTTTTTTTTTTTTTGCTGAAGAAGATTCACCCTGAGCTAACATCTGTGCCAATCCTCCTCTGTTTTGCATGTGGGTCGCCACCACAGCATGGCTGACAGTAGTGTAGGTCCGCGCCCAGGATCTGAACCCGAGCTGCCAAAGCAGAGCATGCTGAACTTAACCACTACGCCATGGGGCCGGTCCCTATAAAATGATTTTTAATGCTGAAATGTGTTGGGAGTAAGGAGGTGGTGACAGTAGAAAAGGGACACATTAATTTTTGTTGGTCTCTGTGAAACCTTTTTTTTTACAAAATTGTTGTTTTAAACAATATTGAGATGATTCCAATAAGCTAATCACCTGAAGTATATTCTCACCTGCATCTATGTATGAAGCAAAGTATTCTGGGAAACATAACTCAGGTAGGTATTTTGAATATATCTAGATGTTAAAGCTAATTATTTACACAAAGTTATTTTAAACAGATACATTATAAGTACATGTCTTAAGAAAAGTACATTTACCATAATGTTCAACTAATTTAGGAGGAAAAAAACTGTACGTTAAATCTTTCACATCTTGTCAACACTTCAATTTATTTTGAAACAATCAGTGCTTCATTGGTAATGGCATTTGTTCTTGTGAACAGAGGGTTATGAAACAGACTTACTCTCATGCCAGTAGAGAGAAGTTAGCAGCTAGACAACTAGCTGTGTATCATTTGACTGTTAACAAGTCCCCTCAACTCACTGAGTCATAAATTTCAGAATTTTTAAAGAGGAACTAATTTAAGAATGACCTACTATGGCACTGCATAGTGCACGGTTTGACACCTTCTCTCACAGCCTTGGAATAAATGTCTTATAGAGGAATACTATCCTGAAACTGACTTTGACAGCTTCCAGGGGAGACTGAATAATCCAACGGAAATCAAATTTGCATCAGCTGTTTCTCATTCTGGAAGCTACAATTATCTTCACTACTAAACAGAAAACAAAATCTTGATAATGAGGCGTAAATACTTGCCTGTAGGACTCAGTTGCAAGAGCACTAATTTTAGGTAGGATTAATATATGGTTTCCAGGAATGATTTGGAAAGGGTTTTGGTAAATCCTGCCTTGTTTAACTAGTTTTCCCAGTGTGATGGGGAATGAGAATCATCACCAAAGTGTGCTACCATCCAAAGCTAGCTCAAGAGAAAGGAGTGGAACCTACAAGACGTATTTCCCTCCTGAGTCAACCACGCAACCAATGTTTATTGAGAGTCTCCCATGGTATTCAGTCCTGTTCTAGGCACTGGAAACAGAGTGGTAAACTCAGCAGACACTCTTCCTAGATACTTAGTTCTCAGCTAACTTAACCACCGACACTTAAATAATGCTATGAGAAAAGTCACTCAGCAGTTAAGCCATAAACTATTTGTGGTTCTCTCAGCTCAAAGAGCAGGTGGCCCTTGGTGGCTGGTGAAGAAAGGGACTAAGGAGGAGATGGCAGTTGTACTGGATCTGGAAAAGTGGCAAGATCAGAACTGGGGAGAGAAGGGCAGGAGATACTGGGGCAGGGAGGGGAAGGCCCTTTTGACCACAGAAGGAACTCTGCTCTTTTGACCAAATGTAATGCCGAATTTCTCTTTCTAGGAGCAAATCAATCCTTTATATTTTTATAGGCTCTCCTAATACTTCAACATCAATAGTTACCCTTTCTTAGAAGTTTCCTAATCTGGTGCTGATTCTAGTGTTTCCATTTTTCAAGAAGAGTTCAACTGAACATTTACATTTGCAATAATAATTATACTAGTTATAACAAGTACCATTTATTGAACCCTTATGTGCTAGACACTACAGAAAGCTTCACATAGATTTTCTGAGTTAATCTTCACAACAGTCCTGTGTTGGGAGCTATTAATCCTATTTAACAGATCTGGAAACTGAGGCACAGAGAGGTTGTCCAGGTCACACAACTAGTAACTAAAGGAGCAAGGATTCTGATCTCTAGTCACGCTGTGTCTAAGATATTTTGTAAATCATATCAGAGTATATCTTTCCCTTAACACCCCTAGAGTTTTCTCCTAGTCGAGTCTAGTTAACAATGAGTCAAAGAATTGTCCGTTTGGATCATCTGTAATTCTTCTGTTTCTCCCTGAGCCAGATAAGCTGCAAACCTGTTGGAAGCAGTGAAGGGGCCGTAGGGAAGAGGCGAGAAGCCTTCGCGAGGACAGCCACCTGAGATCCTGATCCAGAACCTGCGCTCCCCGAGAGCCGGCCCCACTCCCTGAAAGGGAGGCCGCGGGTCCCCGGGTCACTCGTCGTTCTTCTCGGCGCCTCCCGAGCTCTGGGCCCCACGCACACTCACAAAGCGCTGGAGCTTTAGGTGGCCTCGGGCGGCCGGGCGCCGCCGCAGCCGCAGCCCGGCTGGCCGGCTGGCTGAACACCGCGGGGCTCGGCCGCAGAGAGCACGGTTTGCCCGTGGGCCAGGGCTCAGGGCCCCCGCTGTCCACGCCGGGCCCCGCCGGGGGGCCCAGAGGCTCCCGGCCCCTCTCCTGGGAGGAGGGGATTGGGAAGGGGAGGACGGCGGGGCGGGGCCTGCCACCCAAAGTCCCCAACCCGGGGACGTCACGGTCCCAGGTGCGCTTGGGACGGGGGGCGGGCGTCTAGCGTGCGCCTCCCTCCTCGGCGGAATCCCCCACCGCGGCGGGAGCGGCTTCGGCGGGCTCCGGGGTTGGTTTTCTGCGGCGGCCACACCTGGAACCGCGCCTCAGGGCAGGGCGGCGCGGCCGCCGCGGGGAAG